GGGCTGTGTTTCAAGTGTAGTGATTTGCTGCAGACATAGAGCCAAGATCTGCTCCCAACTCCTCTGAATTTACATCGCCGTGAATGAGAGCAAACTGTTGGGCCCCTGGAAATGAATGCTCGCCACTTATGCCCGTCTCACAGCTGCATCTGATACAAATTAATCAACATGCAACACGCAAACCCCTGGCATAATCTGCGCCTCTTGGCACTGGCTCCCTCTCTCCTGTCCCAGCCGTGAGGGACAGTTATGTTGTACAAGAGACTGACACGGATAGCTAACAACCCAGGCAGGTGGGATACTTGCATGCTACTTCATCCAAGGCTGTAACCACAAACCACGGGACCTTTCTCTCGGCCATCTTCAGGCGCAGAATTGTGATCTTCTCTTTCCAGCCCACCCCTGCAAAATACACAACACAGACGCTGTCTGAGGAGAGGTTTGTTCTTTAACTGCATGTGCTACAGCTCCTCTATTAGGAGGAATAAAAACAGAAGGGAACAGCCATGATGCATGGTAAAAGACGACCAGAATTTCAGTGGAGCCAAACAACCTATTGTTGACCCGTTCCCCTTCCCGTTCCCCTTCCCCTTCCCCTTCCTTTATGGACACAGCTGGGTCTCAAACTAAGTGTTCCCTTTTCCCAAAGACATATTTTTAATGCACCCAGCTCTATGGTCTCCAGACTCCAAAAACTTGTTTCTGATTTTCAGAAAACCTGGAAGAGAATAAATGGAGTCTTGTTAGATCCTTAATTTAATCAGACTTTTCTGGGCTGCTGTCAAACTTCTCACGTCATTTTAATGGGGAAAGAAAGGACAAAGAGAGGATTGAAAGAGAATCCAGCCCTCAAGGTTTGATCCCACTGACCTGTGTAGCTGAGACCCAGGGTGATCAGAGGTTTGCAAGGTCGTTGAGGGCGATCTACCCAGACCACATCAATGAGGTTCTCTGAGACTGGCACGAGAGCGTGACCAGCACTTCTCAGGACTTTGGACATCCTCTTCCACTGATCTGCCAAAGGGGAGAGAGTTCAGAGCTGGCTACAAAGACAAACAGTGAAATGCTAATGTCCCCTCTTTGTGAGGAGAAGCTGAAAAAGTCTGAGCTTTCTCCTTTGCCTTGGCTCGCTTTCCCTCTCCCAAAGCACGTAAGACAATAAGATCTCCATCCTTGGAGGTTTTAGGACCTCTGCTGACTTCCCTGGACCCAGCCATTGGAGGCTGGAAGTAACTACATACACTAGACTCCTGATGCCCAACTTCTCCCCACAGGCCCAATCCACAAATAGTGGTGTCAATGAAATGATTCCATGATCTCAAATATGGCTAGGGGGTCCACATTTTTATGGGATATAGCATATCTCCTAGACACTCACGTGCTCTAGCCACACAAGGACTAGACTGACAGGCAGACCCTGAAGATTCAATGAAAATTGAACTTTCTAACCTAGGGACCAGATGCTGGTTCATGCAGCCGTTCATGCCAGAAAGACTGCAAATGCAAAGAGGAAGACGGCTATTGACTCTGCCTCTTATGAAGGTCTTGGGTATACCTGTGCTCAGGTCCTGCACCTCTGACCTTATGAATGGGATTAGGTAGGTGTGACCAGGAAGCCATGCAAAGCCTTTGCCTCCTTATGCAGTCCTGCTGTGTACAATTTATTCCACCCTCCAGCAAGATGCAGCCATTGCAGCTACGGACAGGATCCTAAAGAACCTGAAGGTTTATTTTGTAGCATGCTGATGTACCTCTTTGGGGACCTAGTGATACATGATGCTTTCAAGCAAACATTAGCCAGTAGGTGACTGTCTGTTACACAATCACCTCTGAGCTGGAATGCAGCAGCTTTTAACAGTTTCATCACATATACTGAACCTGGGAAATGAGGATGGATCCCCCATCCTCCTAAAACTCCTAGGAATCTTCAAGTAAGCAGAATCTAATTCCCCCAAGCTAGAAGGAAGCGCATGAACTTACCAGCTGGTATGATGAAAGGGTCCACTCCAACTTTGGAGCCCTCTGGGAGCACACTCACTAGCCAGTCCTCCTGAGAAGGAGTATCCTTCACCCCTAAAGGAGAGAGGGAGAGTTTAAATAGCATTCAAAGAGCAAAGGATGCAGCAATGATGTCTATGGACCTTTCCAATACAGCCCATGCCAACAGCAAAGTCATAGTTTCAAGCACATGCTAAGATATGCCTGGAATGATCTGGTTGGGGCTGGTCCTGCTTTCAGCAGAGGGTTGGACTACATGACCTCCAGAGGTCCCTTCCAACCCTCATTTTCCGTGATTTTATGACATGCATGTGGCATCTCCTATAGATACAGAGCCTAACTTAATGCACAAAGCTATTCCTGCCATCTCCCTTTTGAAAGAAACCCTAATGCTGTGAAGGGCACTAGACTGGCATGAGTGCCCTCAGATGCTCTGGCATCCACTAGCCAGACTGTACGGAGTCTCCACATAGCTCGCAATGTGCATCAATAGCATGAACTCCCACTCACCCATCTTCATGAGTGTCCAGTTGTTGTCCATTTGACTGGCTGCCTGCAGAAAGTAGCGTCCATCCGTCCACATGGCTGCATTCTGCTCGGTTATAATGGCAGTACCTGGGTGGGGAGTATAACAGCAGTATAATGGAGAGCAAGGAAAGGAGAATGTTTCTTGTTATCAGAATCCAGGTAGGCAGAGACTAATGTGTTTGGTACCTCATTCGCAGGTCTAACACCGTACTAATAGGAACATGGACTGTTGCATCCAACTAAGCTGCAAACCCCTGTAGAGGCCTGCATCGGACAGTCTACAGCAGGGGGCTGAACATCTCTCTCCAACCCCTTCAGACTAGTTTAGCTTAAGCCCAGCCCAGCCACTCAGCGGGTGCATCTACATGTAAAATTAATCAGGCGCAATAAACTCAGGCACAAATTGTGCCAGCCTATTGCTCCCAGGAGCAGTGTTTACATGTGCGCGCGGGACCGCATCACATTGATCTGGGACAGAGCAGCCCCAGCTGGCAGGGGCACCAGGGGGTCAGCCTGCCAACCCAGGGCTACTCTGACCTGGCTCAACATGCTGCAGAGTGGCTGGCTAGGGCACGAGGGTGAGCGTCTACACATGCAGTGAGCGTTTACACATGCATTGCAGCACAGTAAATAACTTCACCGTAAGATAGTACTTGTGTTGGGCAGTACTAGCCTACAGCAGAGTTAATTAGTTTACTGCAGCCTAATAGCACCTCATGTGTAGACGCTGACACTTTACTGAGGAGCTAGTCAGCTCCACAGTAAAAGTCCTGTGCAGACGTGCCCAGTGTGAATGAACCAAACCCCTTTCCAGAATTACTGTGACTGGGCAACAGGTTGGGCATGAGAGACCGGAGCTCGGCACTAACACATGATGGGGGCAGCCCCTGTCCCAGTAAACTAGACAGAGTGAAAGAAGGGAAGCAAGATTAACTTCACTTTAGGGTGCAAAGCTGTGGTGGCATGGATAATTTTGCAAGGTACCAAAGAAACAGGAATTGAAGTCAATGGGATCGTTCACACGCTTCAGTGAGAGCATGTGTTTATATCCCTTGCTAGATCAAGGGCAAAGATATTAAAAGACTTGACCAAGGTTATAAAGGAAGCCTGTGGCAGAGGAGGGATTTGAACCCGTCTCTCCCGAGTCCTAGGCCCAGCCCTACAAGTGGCTATTTTCTCTCTTACAAATAGAACTTGCTGGAGGACAACTTCAAAGCCCCATCTAGGCTCACCAAAGCCTTTTTAAGCTGCTTGAGCCTGAACCATTTTAAAATAAAAGCTTTCATTCAGCGCGTGCTGTCTGAGCCCAGGACAGACCAAGCCGGAAACATCAGGTCCTAGAGGCAGGAACAAAGCGTTTCCAAATACAAGGAGAGGATTCAAAGCAGAGAAAGGAAGGATGTGAGGAAGCCACCCACAATGCATGAAGTAACAGGGGGGTTGTTTTATACAGGTACCACCCTGCTGCTCTGTATCCTTAGCGCTGTCCTCGCGAGGAGCTAAATGTGCTCGACAAAAGTTAATGAAGGAAGCCTCACAATACTGCACATTAAGTCAGTGTTATTAGTTAGAGCCAAATTATAGCTGGGAAAAAAAAAAGAGGTGTGGGAAGGTTAAGGGACTTGCCAACAATCACACGCAGCAAGTATGTTGCAGAGGACAGAGCCCAGATCCTCCGACTTCCTGTCCCGTGCCTCGGCCAAGAGAACATCCTGTCCTCCTGGAGGATAAGCAAACTCTTCCCAACAGCTCCATTTCCCAACTCAGTACTTCTGGCACTCGCCTCATTGGGAGGAGACTGGAAGGGTCTCGCATGCCTTGTTTACCCTGGATCCTAGCTCTGACAGCGAATGTGAAATCTGATCAAGCAAGAAGAAACACACGCGACGCACAAGCACCCCATGGAAGAGTTAACAGGACTTGCCTTCATATGAGGTTCACTCAGGGTTCAACCTTTTATGAAAGCATTGATACTACATCATTCCAGCTGGTGGCCAACTCATAATTTTGCAGATGCCGAAATGGGAAGGGAAATGTCCCAACACGTTGGTTGGGTTTGTCTTTCCACCCTGCATACAAGCTGTGCATTAGGCTTGCTTCTGCACAAGGGGAAATGTGGATTCAAATAACTACAGAGGTTCGGTACCTGCAGAGCCATCGAATCCAGAGATAAACGCCCGCCGGCAGTCACAGGGCGCAATGTACTCGCTCTGGAAAAATGAGAGATGCAGTAATTAGTGTCCAAAAAAATATCGGCGGATGAGAATGACTTTGATCAGCTCCGTTTCTCTCTGAAAGGGTTTGACTGAGAGACAGAAACATGTTTCACCCCAGGCTCCCTCCTGCAGGACACTGAATGATGTGTGATTATTTTATATTGATATCCGGTGATTTCTTTTGCAACCCCCCAGCCCTTTTCTCCCACAACCGTCTATAAACACTGATGTGCTTCAGAGTGTGCAGATGTTTATTTCGCAGCCAGCCTCCTCTTTTGGCAACAAACAACTCCTGCCTTTGAAGCTTCAGTGGGAGAGGAAAAGCACACACAAGCGCTCCTTGATCTCGGGAGGCGAGAGTACACACTGCATTAAAGCTTTAAACTTGGCTCTGTTTATTGATGTCCCTCTAGTTGGAACGTACAAGAAGCACTTGAAATCTCCCCCTCCCCGTAAAACAATGCCGTTAAAAGGAAACCGTCGGGGTGTTGGGCCAGAAGGCTTTTAAGCCCTTAGGGCAAGACATCAATCCTCTCACCTTTCTGTCCCCCGTTCACATCCAGCCCAAGCCAGTACTAATCAAAGGTACTGATTATTATCACTGCACAGGTGATTCCCTATGTGAAGCAAGGTGTGCAGGAAGGAGTTGGGGAAGAGAAGGGAAACTTGAGGCTAGATCAAAGGTCGACACTAGAGTTGGCAGGCATGGGCACCTTTTTTTTTTTTTTTGGCGCACACAGCAAAAATCCCCGAAGAACTAAAACAGCTGAGGAGGTAGAAATACCCAGAGTCCAGAGCCTGCTGCCAAAATGAAAAGGGAAAACTGATTGCTCTTGGAACCAGCCAGCACATCCTGGATTGGGATCCTGTTCCTGTACAATCAGAGGTCAGCATGGCTCGACTTGTTTTTAATTAACCTGCCCCATTCAAACAAACAGCTTAGGCCTAGCCAGCAGCTCCGAGGCTGGAGCTCTCGTCCTCGGTTCAAAGTAGCTGCAAAGATTCCCCAGCGAGAGTCTGCAAAAGGAGCGACAGAGAACTGTCCTCTCCCTTCCCCATTCTGCTGCGGCACTGAACGGCCACGGACAGAGCAGAAGTTAAACATCAGAGGCCCGATTCTCCATTCGGTCCGGCTCCTGGTGCACGCGGCGGAGGGGGAGAACAGCACCCGGCTGGTGCAGCTGCCAGCACATCCGCTCAGAATCCGCCAGGACGTTTATTCTCCAAAAATCCTTTTCCTAAGTTTCAAACACAAGCTATTGAAAACTAAAGAGCTCGGGAAAAGTGATGGGGCAGGAAGAGGGCTCAGAAGGCTCCTGATTTAGCAGTGTGAGCCCAGTTGTCTTTCCGTCACTTCCTGCGATAACTGCAATGCCTGCTAAAGCCAACACTGTGCACCTGTAAATGCCAAGCACCGTGTGGAGCTGCTGCCCACCAAAGCCAGCCAGATGACGGGAGGTCCACTCGTGGCTTCCCTGAACCTCAGACTGACCCCTACCCCAATCGGGCCCTTCACGGCTACCCCCCACCACACCTGCTGCGTTCCTGTCAGCCAGGAACATGCCCCTAGGGAAAGCCATCCTGGCAGCCCCCATCCAGAGAGCACTCTGCATTGAGTAACCCCTTTGAAGTCAAAGGGATCACTCACATGAGTGAACATGTGCAAGGTCAGGCCCTATAGCACTGAAATCTGCTAGATTTGCTGTCCGGTAGCAGGTGCAGTGCCTTCTAGCTCCAATGCAGCACAGCAGTCGAGGCAGTCCACTGTACCCTCCGGACTGACCCTGGCCCAGGACTATTTAAAACAAACCCTACTGCACACCTTGGAGATGGATCCATGCTCACTGCAGCAAGGTCAACACCACTGCGAAAGCCAGAATAGGTCAGGGCAAGCTGTGGAAAACTGAGCAGAGGGCACTTCTATCCACCCCAATATGGAGCAGTGGTTACTAGTTGTGGAAGACCAGCCTTAAGGGATGGTCAAAGACAGGTGATAGTAGTGTTGGGGTGGGAGTGAATCAAGTCATGGTGGAGCCCGAGCCAAAATCACCCATCCAAACCCAACTCAGAGGTGGGATTTGAACCCGAGCCTCCCGGACTCAATGGATAACCTCCTTCCACGACACCCGCTAACATATCCAACTGGAACAGTCCCCAGCTTCAAGGAAATACAAACCCCAGATCCACTTTGAACTACATGGCTCTATCAAGCTATTGCCACCGCAGCCGGGGCCACGATACATATCCTGACAAATGCAACATGGCGAATCATGGATTTCTCAAGATCCTTACCAAACTGGAAAAAAGAAAAAAAAAAAAACAGAAAAAATATTTGGTTTGGTCAGAGAGACATAGACGTTTAAAAAATTGTTTGATGAAATGGGGAGGAAGATGAAGAATTTCATTTTGGTCCAACCCCAAACATTTTGTTCAATCCAAAAATGAAATTTTTTATTTCACTTCCAAATTCTTTAACCCTTTTCAACACTTCCTTTTTTTTTTTTTTCTTTTAATTTAGGCCAATTTTTAAACAAAAAATGCCATTTTAATAGGAAAAAAATCAAAAAGTTTTATTTAAAAAATGTTCAAAACAAGAGATTCCTAAATGAAATCTCTCGCTTTCAAATGGCTGAAACAAACTGTCCCCGTGTTATCAAAACTTCCCTCCATTATGTTCCAGCCACAACAGTTTGCTGAATTCAAGCCAATTCTGTGAACAGTTGCAATCCCTCAAACCCCATTTTTGTCCGATTTTTACTATTCATCAGAAATATTCCTGCCAGGTCTATGACTAACAGCTAGACTGGGATTGTCAAAGGAACTAAATGAACTGTGCGTACTGTAGGAGACTGGCACCTACTTCCTTTGGCTCACAGATGAACCTCAGCCCTCTCTTCTGTGCCGTGGGCTGAGAAACTGGAGTGCCTTACCCCCACAGCCACACTGGGTGTATTGGCTCAGGACAGATCTTTGACCTTTTTGACCTAATGTCCAATGCATGGGAGCCTTCTCATGGACTTCAGTGGGTGTTCGCCCGGCATCTCCCCCACTTAACAAGCTGGTTCACAAGGAAGCTGACTATTCCCTCCAATCTCCTACCACCAGTTTAGAGTTATGCTATGGCTTTGGTGTCCAAAATCAAAGTGAATGGTGCAGCCAAGATCCAGCACTGGCTAAAATGGTCATAAATTCGAGGGCAGCCTCAGGGAAGTCAGAGCTTCTGAGATGGGCCAACTCTGTTCCTCACACCAAGTAAATGTGAGAAGCTCATGGATCGGATTAAGGTTTTAATAGGAGGTGTGCTGCAATGTTCTGGATGGTAAAATGCAGACGATGCCACAACCCGCTAAAAAAGGGAGCTGGGGATACATCACACACCACAGGAAAAGGGTTTTAAGGTTCACCCTAAGCTGAACTCCTGGAAACTGCAGCTCTCTCCTGGTACAGTGGCTAGAAATGAGGCAGCTCTCACAGCAGAGGAGACCTCCTAGACACAAACCAAAAGGCCACATAACAAGCAGCTTTCATCAATCGCTTCCTTCCACACTGTTTTGTTCTGTACAGAAACCTGAACAAATGGTCCAGCAGGGCGTGAAACCGTGGGGTTCCTTGCATTACTGCATTCGCTGTAGGAAACACCAATATGGGGGTGGGGGAGAGGGATAGGAGCCCTGCAGGAGGCATCCCTTCGCATATGTGACCACATTTAAACTTTCACCAAATGAGCCCAGAGTTGCGTGTGGGCCAAGACGGAGCTTGAAGCACAAGCGTGCTGACTAGCAGCAGGGGAACTCTTCACCTACTGCACCTGGCTGCCAGGCCAGACTCTTTAAAGGGAAATATGTCATTACTGTGTTGCCAGGGCCCAGTTCAAGCTGCTTTGCACTCTGTGTCCACGTCTGTACAGTACTTGCATGCCAAGCACACAGATTCAGGAGCTTTTGACATGCATTTGCACAGATGTTAAGGGACAATCTTGGAGCCTAGTCAAGGGAAGATCGGGCCCTTTCAGATCTGAAATGATGGAGGGATAAAACACTCCTATAACACAGACTCTGAAGATGGAGGAGAGCCTATGGAAACGGTGAGAAAGGGGTCAACAGTTTGAAGTTGCGCTGGTATAAATCCCTACCATTCACCAAGGCAGGCTTAAGTGCAGGAGACACCCAAGCATCATGGCAACCACAATAATTAAACTCCCAAGACAGAAGCCCCAGGATGACCTCCTGCACTTGGTACAGAGAGGAGGACAGCTGGAGGGACAGGGCCCCAGTTCTGCAGATACAAGGGACATGGGACCTGCTCCCTAGGGCAGCAGTTCCCAAGCCATGGGTCATGATCCCAAATGGGGTCACAACAGCAGCAGATGGGGTTGTGAGATGGTGCTCTCTCCCATGCCATGTCCCGCCTGCTGGGCTCCAGAGGCCCAGGGGATGAACAACAGGGAAGGAAGCCCCAAGCCCACAGTGGGCATCCCACATCCTCCCCACCCACCGTGGGTCCACTCTAGCCATGCCACCGGTGGGAGAAGGGACAGGGGTGGGGGGGCCGGGAGCCAGCTCTACACTCCAGCCTCAGCAGCTGCTGCTACCTGCGGGCAGCAGCCAGGACTCAGGCACTGCTGCGGCAGGGGCTGCAGGTCCTGGCCCTGAGGCACCTGGGGAGTGGGGGGCACCAGCAGGGCCAGGGGGCTGGGAGTGAGGGGCACCTGGAAGAGGGAGAGAGTTGGGAGTGAGAGGCCATGCTGAGGAAATGTCTGGGAAGCACTGCCCTAGGGTCGTCTCCAAAGCTCCTCCGTGTGAGATCTGTAAAGTCTTTGTGAAACTAGAAACCATACTCCAAGGGTCAGGATGGGAAGAGCCACTGCTCTGGGCCGCCGTCATTTTGAGGACATACACCTCCCTGGAGAAACTTTGCCCAAGAGTTACTGGCAGAACCACCAGCACTGCGTTTCCAGAAAATAATAAACACAGAAGAAACCTCCCCAAACCATCTCTACAACAGCCCTCAACGCTGCTCCCCCAGCTCATCCAGGCTTTTATACTGGAATGATTAAAGCAAGCAAAAGAAATCAGAACCGGGACCATCTACAGGCCTTTACATTTCAGCTAGACCAAATCGCCATGACTCTGCTGTCCGTACCTGGTGGGCATCTCCCGAAGGGACGATGTAGGCCTGGATGGGCTCTGTGACATGCTTTGAGCTCCTCATCACCTGGCGCAGCTGCTTCAGCAGCTCTGTAGTAACCTTTGAGCTCATCTTCCTACCTGCAATACAAATTAGAGGCAGTATCGTAACACTTCTCCAGCACTCGCAGCCTGTCTGCTTGTAAAGGGCCTGATTATATTCCCATTCAAATCAGAAGCAAAGCTCCCTTGGATGTCCACCATGGAAGGATCATCCCACATGACTTCTGGATTCTGGCTCCCTGCCATGTCTCATTTCACCTGATTCATTTTAAGGACAAGAGTTCAGGCTTAACACTTTAAGGTGAGATCATGCAGACCCTGGGGCAAAGCTTTCCCATATCAGCGAGTGACTTGTATGGATGACCGTAATATATCGGCATGACTGCGTAATAATATCCTAGTGTGATAGATATCTCCACACCTTCCAGTAGCCAGCACCAGCAACCAGCCAGCTGACTGCTTTCTCCTAGCCAAAGGAGATGCTCTCTCTTAGCTCGTTTGATAGAGGCCTGGGCACTTGGTGTTGAAGGTTTCTGGTTCAAGCTCCATTGCTAATCATGGCATCTCTACCCATGGTCATCACGTAGGCAGGAAAGTCCTCAACTTGCCTTGCCCTGCAAAAATATTGCCAGTTACAGTCTTCTGATCTGCCCTGCCCCTTTTCTGGTTTCTGCACCCAAATGGATCAGTTAAAGATGCGGTTTTTCGAGCCTGTGTGACAGCCCCAGTAGTGATTTTCCATAGATGCGTGGGTGGATTTCTGGATTATGTTAGACAAAACAGCCAGACATCCTCTCTGGATGCAGACAAGAACCATCCTCTGGGGATTTTTATACACCACTTGCATGTTATTATTCATGTCGTTTATACAGCAGCCGGGAGTACAGCCCAGCAGCGGGAAGAATGTCTGGGAAGCACTGCCCTAGGGTCGTCTCCAAAGCTCCTCCGTGTGAGATCTGTAAAGTCTTTGTGAAACTAGAAACCATACTCCAAGGGTCAGGATGGGAAGAGCCACTGCTCTGGGCCGCCGTCATTTTGAGGACATACACCTCCCTGGAGAAACTTTGCCCAAGAGTTACTGGCAGAACCACCAGCACTGCGTTTCCAGAAAATAATAAACACAGAAGAAACCTCCCCAAACCATCTCTACAACAGCCCTCAACGCTGCTCCCCCAGCTCATCCAGGCTTTTATACTGGAATGATTAAAGCAAGCAAAAGAAATCAGAACCGGGACCATCTACAGGCCTTTACATTTCAGCTAGACCAAATCGCCATGACTCTGCTGTCCGTACCTGGTGGGCATCTCCCGAAGGGACGATGTAGGCCTGGATGGGCTCTGTGACATGCTTTGAGCTCCTCATCACCTGGCGCAGCTGCTTCAGCAGCTCTGTAGTAACCTTTGAGCTCATCTTCCTACCTGCAATACAAATTAGAGGCAGTATCGTAACACTTCTCCAGCACTCGCAGCCTGTCTGCTTGTAAAGGGCCTGATTATATTCCCATTCAAATCAGAAGCAAAGCTCCCTTGGATGTCCACCATGGAAGGATCATCCCACATGACTTCTGGATTCTGGCTCCCTGCCATGTCTCATTTCACCTGATTCATTTTAAGGACAAGAGTTCAGGCTTAACACTTTAAGGTGAGATCATGCAGACCCTGGGGCAAAGCTTTCCCATATCAGCGAGTGACTTGTATGGATGACCGTAATATATCGGCATGACTGCGTAATAATATCCTAGTGTGATAGATATCTCCACACCTTCCAGTAGCCAGCACCAGCAACCAGCCAGCTGACTGCTTTCTCCTAGCCAAAGGAGATGCTCTCTCTTAGCTCGTTTGATAGAGGCCTGGGCACTTGGTGTTGAAGGTTTCTGGTTCAAGCTCCATTGCTAATCATGGCATCTCTACCCATGGTCATCACGTAGGCAGGAAAGTCCTCAACTTGCCTTGCCCTGCAAAAATATTGCCAGTTACAGTCTTCTGATCTGCCCTGCCCCTTTTCTGGTTTCTGCACCCAAATGGATCAGTTAAAGATGCGGTTTTTCGAGCCTGTGTGACAGCCCCAGTAGTGATTTTCCATAGATGCGTGGGTGGATTTCTGGATTATGTTAGACAAAACAGCCAGACATCCTCTCTGGATGCAGACAAGAACCATCCTCTGGGGATTTTTATACACCACTTGCATGTTATTATTCATGTCGTTTATACAGCAGCCGGGAGTACAGCCCAGCAGCGGGAAGAACTGTCCTACAAGCTTGTCCAGGAAGCCGAATGGAGAGTGTCCCGCATAGTCCCTGCTCAAAGCAGGTCCATCCCCGATTAGATCATTCCAGCCAGAGCTTTGTTGAGTCAAGCCTTAAAAACCTCCAAGGACGGAGCTAAGGCTCTTTTAAAAACAAGATTTACCATCCAATAATCTTTAACAGCTCTTTACAATGTGAACCCCAGACCTTTCTGGCACAGGAGATGCCAGTGAAGCCGGATGTGAGCATGAATATTATGGGCCTGATGCAGAAATTATAAGGCAATACATTTTATGCAAGTCAGATCACTTGATTAGAATGGTACTAGGCCTTAGAGACCAAGACACTGCGTCTCTCTCAGACTTCTCCACAGGCCTCTTCCATCTCTATCTCCTCTTGGTTGACCCAGTGTTTCTCTGCAGAACCAATGCAGCACAGCTCCCTACGGGGTACTTTCAATGCCTTTATCTAATCTAATCATTCTTAAAGAAGACGCAGAGGCCAGGATTTCGTCCTCGAGTTTCCCAGTATGTGGTTCAGAGACCAGCTGGTTGGTACACCATGTTAGACATTGTATTATCGTGTTTAGATCGGGGTGGCCAACCTGTGGCATAAGTGGCAAGGGCAGCCTGTGTTTGTGGCATGAGGCAGACTGGGGAGGTGACAGGCAGCACAGCAGCAGACGAGGCAGAAAGCAGAGCAGCAGATCAGGAAGGGAGTACAGGGCAGCAAGCAGAATGCAGAGCAGCAGATAGGGCAGAGGAAGGATACCGGAGCCACTCAGGCAGGGTGCAAGCCCCAGCTATGAGTGGGGAGGTGTGTACCAGTCACTGGGAAGAGTGCATATGAAAAGCACAGTTTATGTAGAAAGACTAGAGCACGGGAGGCATGAAATATTACAGAGGCACAGGGGGATGAAGGGACTTGTCCATGATCAGACAAAAAAGCTGTAAAATAGTCAAGAACAGAATCCAAATCTAATCACCAATCCACGTATCTAAACAACAGCCCCAAGCAGTGGGAGCACAGTAAGGTGCTGCCTGCCTTCGAGCTTCGGTTTTCTTTAGAAATGTGGATTTTGAGAGTACAAGACAGGACAAGATCAAAGCAGAACACGTGCTGATATGCCACAGGTGAAATCTAGCCCCAGCAACAGCAAAGGCAAAAATCCTGTTGACTCCCCAGAGAAAGGAGGTCGCACCAGAGCCGTCTCCAGGCAGGCTTCTGCGGGCATGTACCTCTGCGAGCTACCCGAGACCGTGCTTTACTCTGGTCGCTCTTTTCCCTCCCATGCAATGAGCTAATCATTGACGCTCCCTGTTGAAGCAGGGACATGAGAAAGGAGAAACGATCAAAGGAGGCCAGTTGTTTTTCTGGACAGGGCCTCCTTTCCCCAGGATGTACCCAAGCTGCTGTGGGGAACGTGGATCAGATAAGTAAGGAACAACAAGGAAGCAAGAGGGAGGGATGGGATGAAGGAAAAAAAAGCAAACAGCACCCTACTGAAAGACTGATCTCCTCGATAAGTAACCAGGCTAAAGGATCCCTGTCCAATTCTGTCAGTCTCCCATGCAGTGATTCTCACCCGGGGCCACATGGCCCCGAGGTGCTGTATGATCCTTTTAAGGATGTCGCAAGGTACCGCACAATATTAGCACTCTTAGGTGTGCACACACCTGCTCAGGATTCAGAAGATAAACCCAGAGATTTCAAACAGGAATCCAGAGTATCAAAAACAGTCTGGCCTGTGCTGCTCTTCCTACTTTCTTTGCAACAGAAGAATTGCTCTGTTACTTTTCCATAGTCAAAAAACAACTGAAAGAAAGAGCTGGTGTTTCCCGGGGGGTGCCCCGAGTCTATCAAGGGGTGCTTTGGGTCTTAAAAGGTTGATAACCACTGCTCTAGTGCAAGAGCAGCTATTTTTTCCCCTGATCCTTGGGTGGTCACTTTGTTTGGTCTTCCTGTGTTTTTAAGAGCAAAGCTGACCTTTCCCCTCTGCGGTAATTATAGCCCCGGACTAAGTTAAAATAGCTTCTCTGTCATTATTTGCTCACTCAGTGATTAGAACCAAGCAATACCAAAATTAAAGTAATTGTCTGGCTAGTGCAAGATGCAAGATAATCCTCTGTCTTGACATTTTCAAAGCCATCAAATAACCAGAGCCCACATTACCTGCCCTCTGTCGTCCTTCCCCAAGCCTGGATTCCTCTTGCCTTTGATTGCACAAATACCATCCAGCCCTTTGCTCTGCCTTATTACGCTCACTGGTGCCTGAGAAAGCAAAGGGCAAAAATTAAAAGTCTAGCAGACTTTGGCCACCATAAAACTTCCTTAGCCAACAATAAGAGACTGCAAAGGCACTAATGTTACGCTGGACTGCGTGAATTACTGATACCCTGTATCCCGTGGTGTGCAATTGCATGTGGTGTCAATGACAGAGCATTCATCCAACAAGTCATGGTCATTTAATCTTCACCACTCACATGTAGCTTTGCACATTCGAGGCAGGTTATACTCTTCACTGCCGTAAGTTTCCTATTAAAGAGTACTAGGTTTCCATTTTGCAGATGGGAAACCTGAGGCAGTGTTGAAGTAACACACCCAAGGCCATTCAGCAGTCAGGACCAGATTTCCCCAAGATTTCCTAGTATCCAGTATGGTGTTTGCTTATTTCTCAGATGTAAGCATCAAATGGATTCGCATCCCTTTTAATTACATGCTTGCCAGTTTGATACTCTATGCACAGCAGCGGATTTCAGCTTTATTTTCCCCGAGTCTTGTTTAAACCGTCTTCGTGAGCTTGTACCGAAAGCTTAACTATACGCCGAGAGCTT